TCATAATTATATGGCTGCGGGTGGGGGTGATGAATGAAGGGTGGGGTGTGTGGTGTGTGTGGGGGGGTGTCACCCATTTTGTTCAGGGAGCTAAGGGGTCAGCATTTTGTACACACGCACTATGTTTAATATGATGCTTAGAAATTATGGAAGGGAGAGGGCGTCATAGATATTGTACATGACATGCAGGGTGGGGCGTCACTTATTTGTACATACACTTTACGGGGAGGAGGGTAATTCACATTGTACATGCTTCTCCATAAAATCATCATCACCCCCAAGCCATACATTATGAACGGTCCCTAAATGCAGCTATACAAAATCGAATAGAATTTATATATAATTTTAATGGAAATTGCAGAAATCTCATCTTCGAAGACTGGGTGGCAGCAATTTTGTGGATCACTATAAAGGAGCAATGCTAAGGTAACAAGTTTCTAACAATTCACTTGTTTCCAGTATATCCATCACAAAGTTTAAGAGAAAGATGATAATGCTCTTTCATTACCACCTGTTTTGAATATTTGAGATAATGTTTGGGTTATTTGGGTGATAATAGTTTGTCTTTATCTTTATTTATATATTAAGGTAGATCATGTAAGAGAATAACTTGACAATGATTTCTCCCGGAGATGTTTAATTTAATGAGCACTCCCTTGCTTTGCGCCATATTGTTTTTCGCGGTAAAGAGCTGGATGCGAGATAGCACGCGAAAGGACAGAAGTCATAAATTTATAGAGATATATAGATGTTTATTGCTGGGAGACACACTCTTCAGGTATTTGGTCAGCTGTAGAATTTGAATATGATGTTTTTTTATTATTGTCAAAGTGTAGGTTTTTCATTATTTTGCATTTATATGTGTGTGCAGTGAAACATACTGAGATTTGGAAGAGTCCATTATTTAGAGTACAGGTATTTTTATGTTTATGTTCCCTTGTTAAGATCATCTATCGAGTATATTAGAGAGAAGGTGTATATTTGTAGTGTTTTAAATCAGAGTTATTTTCAGTGTATGACCTACATTTCAATATGTTTTGGCCACCTGTCACCACTTTGGTCAAATAGAGTAGGACTTCCATTTCTTGGAATTGAGAGTCAGAGATACACTGTTTCCAAGAATTTGCATGTGCCAGCGATGTTTGTTTACGAGTACATTTCAGTCTTTTTGAGTGTAGATTGGAGTTGTAAGAGATGTTATTCAATGTCTTATTATTCAGGGTATGATAAATTATTGCTGGCAGTGTAGAGTTTAATCACATTATTTTATTGTTCATGATTCAGAGAAGCATAGTTATGACGTCGCAGATATTATACGCACACATAATTCATTATATGAGAGATTTTCTAAGCGTTCCTATAAGAGATTAAGTGTAAACATTTCGGAATTATAAAGAAGTTGTTTATCTGAGTTTTATGAGTGTACAAATGACAAAGAGAGAGAGAGAGAGTAGATAGTAGGGAATATATTGTATACTTATGAGAGCTCATTATTGTTTTCAGAACTCCATGATCCATACTTCCTTGTGTTTGGAAACAAATGGTGTTGGAAGACCTCCCACAATAGACGTGTTCTTTGACCTGTGAACCACCACCCATTTTGTTTTCTTATCATTTAATGCAAAATGGCTTTTGTTACAATTTATGACTCCTGTTAGCAAAATTGCTACATCAGTACAACTCCTATTTAATTTGAAATAATCGTTTCCGAGAATATCTAAAGAAAACTAAATCTGACAGAATAACAACAATCTTCCATTGTTTTGCAGGACAATGTCAAACAATTTCATGTCAAGAATGAATGTTGATGGGCAAAACGGCAACTTTTATTTTGAGAATACAAGGTTGTATTCAATCATCTCTGGTAAGTTAATTACCAAATGCAGCATTTTCATCATGACCATAGCAAATAATATATGACAGTAAAGCATCGTCTAATTCATTCTAATTCATAGTCTTATTGAATAATCATCTTGCAATTGAGGATTTTCTTTGAAAAGGTTTAAGAAAACTTCCATTCCTTTAGTTTAAAATATAAATTGTTTACACTTTTCGTCATATTTTGTATTGATGCTGTTCCTATGTTCACATGCCAAGTTACAGCAGTGAAGTGAACCTTTCAAGTGATTGATTAAACAAATACTTGAATCATTTAAGACAATATATCTTCCATATAAATTATTCATGTATTTAAATATAAAATTTCAGAATGTGTCCTATCTCATGGGAATGAGATGGGAATGAACCCGAAGCAAATTTCAAGAAAAAGTTTCTGAAGTAACCATCTGACCGCCAGGCAGGGAGTGGCAGAAAGAAGAGGAGCGGATAATTGTGTTTTTGGAGTTGTAATTGTGTTGAAAAATCTGAACTGTGGTATTGAAATTGGTGGCGTAAATGTCAGTTTAATGCTATATGCAGATGATATTGTGTTATTAGCACAACAGAGATCACCTACAGACTATGTCATGTGCGATGTTTTACATTATGCATTAAACCACGTTTCTCTGTGTGCGTGTGTGTTCATAAAGATTTCATGAAAAGTGACTTGTCTTATGTGCTGTCTTCAGGTATAGTTCCTGGTCATCTTGGATCCCTTTCATGGTGAAAGTTATTGCATTGTGTTTATTCAGGGGTCTGTCTAATAGCTGAAATTCAGACAAAATGTTTTCTCGGGACAATTTCCACCTTTTCAAGATAACAGTACAACAGTAAATAGTTTTTCTTAATTTGGAATACTCTTTTCTTCTTACTGGAATTATACGTCCAACTGACATAAAACTTAAATGAACATTATATTGAATGTGGAATTTTAACCAAGTATTTTATCAGGTAAATATTTTTACTGCAATTTTCTGTTTGAACACTGTTTATTGCAGGTAGCTTTTTGGGTATTTTAGCTGGATGCATGAGTTTGGTGCTACTTTAGTGTAGTTTAAAGATGAAGTGCGAGTCTATTTACAGGAAAGCGTAATACCTCCCAGACACAACCACGGAACAGCCCATTTTCAACGTTGATAATAGGTCAAACTTCAACGATGATTCTACGTCGGATATCTACATCTAAAAAACTTTCATATACAACCACGGAACAACCCTTTCAACCTTAATAATATCAACGTTGATTCCACGTCAACCTATTTTCAATCTACCTTTTTTCAACGTTGAGGTCAAACTTCAACGATGATTCTACGTCGGATATCTACATCTAAAAAACTTTCATATACAACCTATTTTCAATCTAATCTTAACGTTGAGGACCAACCTATTCTCAACATTGAAACAACGTTGATGTGCCTGCTGGGTTTGTAGGCATAGAGTCAAGATCACATGTTGCGGATTTGATTTCTTTTATCAAAGTAATAATTTCGCACTCAGAGAACTCTGTGAAGCAATCCATAGGAACTCCATAAAACGCAGCAGAGTCAAAGGTTTGTGTCTTCTCCAGAGCATGCATTATCCAAGTCGCCACGTATTTTCCCTATCTTAGAGACAAAATAGGAGTTGAAATCATTTAAAAGATTTCTATAACAGGTGCGAGGAGGCTAAACAGTTTTCTTTTTCCCCATAAGCGACGAAACAAAACGATGTAAAGTCTTGGAATTGTTAGTACATTTCACAATTTTGGAATGGCAATATTTCCATGGCTTTCGATTTCCAAATTGCTATTGTTACTTCATTTCTAGCTCATTTGTATATCTATCTGTGGACTTCCAATGTAGATTTTCTCCACTGTCGCTCAGCTATTCGGCGTTGCTGTTTAGTTTTGAGAACATCTTCACAATACCAGGGAGACGAATTCTGCTGGTTCCGTTTTTCCGAACAACTTATATTGTGCTGGGTATATCAACACAAATCCATCCATGCACATATAATAACACCTCACAGGGAAGGACATGTATTACTCAATATACTGTAATGTGTCGATTGAAAGTTGACAAAACTAACTGTTGCAAAAATTGAAGACTCTTTTTTGTCATGCAGCCTTATGAATAAATATCCAATCACTTTGAACTTTACAAGCTGTGTTTTAGCCCCAATGCGCATATAGACACTATATATGAGGACATCCTATATATATTTCTCATTTGCTTTCATATTTATCTGTACGTTCTTATCTTCATTTTCACGTGCATTATTGTCAGTTCTTAAACGTAAGTGTGACAAAAAAACTCTTCATGCAAGCTTCTTGAAATTACTCAGGTACGTTTAAGAGAAACACGTGTTAGTGCAGAGAAATGTTATTCTGGTACTGTGGTCGCAAAATGTCATAACATCATTAACGTCATGTCACTCGAAAAGTGGCAAGTGTTGAAAAATTAAAATCCTTATGAGAGTACTACTACACTGAAACAGTAAGCTCTCTTTGAAATCTTTGTAAATTTGTGCCATTTTTGTCTTTTGATAAAATCTGAAACATTACCACTCATTCATTAAGAAAAAACAAAATATTTTCGTGATTAGATCCATACAATTGTATGAAGCTGTCAGAGTACACGTCATACACCAACAGGTTGGAGTAGCCAAAAGGACGAAGCGTGAACTTGTCGAAATACATTCATTAACGAACAAAGCAACATTAATAAAAAAGAATGGTTTCAATTTCCACAAAATTCCATGTAGTGGATGCATATTGTGAGCCATCTGCTGTTATCTTTCTTACGTCCGTCAATTGTTCAGCTGTCCAATATGAATATTCTCCATTGCCCTCATGAATGTCCTTCTCTGATTCTTATTCATGACTAATTTATGCATGTTTGCATACGACTGGTTTTCTTATAACTTAAACTGTACTTTCCACAGTGCACAGATTTCTATTAGTCACGTGTATGATTTCTCTTTTAGATTTGGCAAATATTACATATTTGTAATCATACTTGTAGGATATCAAATCAATTAATCAGGCTGTGTTCTTTATTATATCAGTAGTGAGACAGCGCTCTGCAATAATAATTTCAATCCAGTGGAGGCATTCACCTCATCGGAGTACCAGAGTGCATAGATTGGTTTGTTTGATATAACGTGGAATGTTCTATTAGACATATATGCTATATAAAGGGACACATGACTGCCTCTGTCTCCAATACTAAATAAAGAGTGGCACTCGGGAACATCACTTTTCAAGAAGGATTCCTGTCAAGGCCTATTTGAAGGCTTCATCGTTGTTGCCACGAGGTGAATATTATTATCACTTTCTTTATTTATTATCACTGAATCTGCTGTATATAATATTGCCATTGTATTTGAATTTGAATTTTATTAGTCATTATCTATTGCTGAATTTCTTTACTGTAGAATTACATATTTGCAATTAAATTTGATTATTAAATTCTGGTGACCACTTCCCACAAATATCGGGAAAAATGATGAAATGAAGTTATCATCGAATATCATTAAGCATTGGTTCGTGCAGTTTAGGGGAAATGTTTAATTGCAATGAGTAAATTTTTAGCAACCTGTACAGGATCATTCCATTTCTTAGGGATATTTAAGAACAAACGGATGCAGTCTAATAAAGTACCTTCTGTGCCAAAAGAAGTACACCCACCCCCACCCCCAATGAAAGGGAAACCTGCAAAGTGGTAACTTTTTCTGGTTTAGAAGTACACTAACGTGAGTAGATAAACTTTGAACTATCTTCCACACTAAGTCCACCGTCTACATATTTTCGAACTAGATTTATTCTCTCTATTTAGCTCTTCTGTTGAAAGTGTAAATTCATTTTGGGGATTTGGTAAATCCGCTTATGTAGGAACTATGGTCGACAACGCAAGGTTATCACTACAGTTATTTCCCCTATAAATTGTTTCTAGTTATAGTTTAATGTTAATGACCCAAAGTGTTTTTGAAATGAGCGTTTAGTGCAATTGCAAGTACATCGAAATCAGCGTTATGCCAGTTCAGTGTTATCAGAACATAATGTGAGCGAACTGAAGCTAGCCATACAGCTTTAGATTTGTCGGTATACACTATTAAGCCAAACATTCTATGGAACTTACAATGCACTTATTGTACTTCTTGTCTCATTTAGAGATGGTGGTGAGCCGACGAGAGATAATTCGGTGTCATTTCCATAAATATATAACCGACACATTGTTGAAGCACTATAAAACGCACTGTCTAAATTGTCATCCACTTGCATGAGCTGTATATGTTGATAAGATATATTACAAACTAATAGTACAAACGAACTAACTCTTCATTGTATAGGTACTGCATACGTGACTGTGCGTACGTGTTTTCTATGATGGACGAAGAGGAGACAATTGTTTTCATGAATACGGACATCATTGAAAATGTAGATGAATCCCCAAAAGACGCCTCAAAAAGATTCTTCACCAAAACGGGAAAAATGGGACCGGAAGTCCGAATTCGTCCTTTCCTTAGTAGGCTATGCAGTGGGTATAGCTAATCTCTGGAGATTCCCTTACCTCTGTGCTAGAAACGGAGGAGGTACGTCATGGAGATAAACAGAAGTTGGAATGAGATAGGAACCTGATAGACCAAGAAGTTACGTCCCAAAGCTGAAATCCTATTGTTTATGGTTTGAAATAGGTTGCTGTCTTACCCATTCCCATTTATGAAAGGGCGGTCCGTGATCTGGTTTAGAATTGGTCTCCAGTCCAAACTTGCTGTAAAAGGCGACCAACGGCGTTGACCAATGCATAAATATAAGGGTAATGCTATTTTTGAGGGCATTATCATTTGCAGAAGCCCGAGGTCTTCCATTAACTGCCCGACGAAGGAGGGCAGTTGTAAAAAGACCGAGGGCTTCTGCAAACGATAATGCCCTCAAAATAGCATTACCGTTATTATTGCTAAAATGCATGGAATTTGTGTTGAAAAGAAAAAGGAAACAATGAAGGAATTTGACTGTAGGTTTACTCAAAACCAACTTCTGACGGAGTTGACTGCCCGAATGCAATTAAGTCATCGAAAAATTCAAGTGACGTCACAACAGAAAGTGACGATATTCGACCTTGGCCTTTGACAAGACCATAGCCTGCAACATGTCAAACTATATCAGTGTTCGGTTTTGGTCCAACAACAACGTTAATAGTGCAGTTGTTGAGGTTAGCACCAACAAGAAAGCCAATATTACCGCTATTTAAAGCGGGAATTCGGGTTCCTTTGACTTGTTTGACCCAGAATATCTGCCAGTCCAAAGCCAATGTCGAATGAACCATAAGCCCACGCACCCACTATGACGTCACTTGACAACAGAACTGATAGTGGCCCGTCGTTAAGGTTGAGCGGTCCAATATCATTTGCAGCGGCCGCAAATTTCTGATAATGGGAGGGCTCCATGTATTTTAGCTATAAAGATTATCAAAACATATATGGAGACATGAAACGTTTTTAATCCATAACGTCCTAAGGATGACATGCTGGGTGACATGCGGCAATAATTATGTCACAGATGCAATCCACAATATCGACAGAAAGGGTAGTTCCAAAGTCAACTGGCCGTCATTCTGAATACACCTTTTTGATTCCTGACATGGGTACATTGTACTAAACCCATTCTGGATCTTTTAACAACTCTATTGCTCACCCACTGGTGTTCTCTGTCGGTTGATATGTTTTCTGCAGCGAGACATAGTCCAGTTGTTACAAAGCTGTAACGTTGTCTATTTTTGCATCAAGTCCAGGCATTCGTCTATGGCTTACTTTCGAAAAGAAAAGGAGCCAATTTGGCACGGCGCTTTTTGTATTTATAGAAGTGATATTACTGAATTTTACTCTGTATGCATACAGCATGTCTATCATTCCTTACCTAAAGGCGCCTTCCTGGCCCCGTTCCTGCTCTTAATGTTCGTGATTGGAATCCCTTTGGTTTACCTGGAGGTCTGTCTGGGACAATTTTCGGGAACAAGTTCTCTTTTTGTTTGGAGATTGTGTCCTTTGTTCAAAGGTAGGTACATGCCAATTCCTTTCATTACTGGACATCTTTACTCCATACTGTACAATTATGTTATTGGTAACAAGAAATAAAACACACATATTTTTTTATTTGGGCTTTGTTTATTATACATTCAATGATTATAATTGAAAAGCATCGCAATGGATGCTACCACTGAACCACATATCGACAAAATGTATTCACCTGGTAATGACGATGTGCATTAGAACGTCTCTTTCTTTTGTGTCACTTTAGGTATTGGATGGGGAGCAACTATCGTGAGCGGTATGATTTCTATCTACTACATTGCAATCTTAGCATGGACAATGCCTTATCTGATCAACTCCTTCTATCCAACCCTGCCTTGGTCCACGTGCAGGAACTGGTGGAATACTGACCATTGCATTGACCGAAATCCTTCTAACGTCACTGGCTTAAACTCCACCATGACAACGTTTTCTGCCAACGTTACAACACCCTTAGTTTCTGATGCCATCCATAACCTGGAAAAGTGGAACACAACTGATTCCTTCTTACAGAAGATGCTTACTGTTGAGGGTAAAGGAAGAAAAACAGCTACTGAGGAATTCTGGGAGTACGTGTCTCGAATATAAAAAAACAAAAGGCTTACTTTTCGTGACATTTTATCCTAAATTATAAATATCAAAGTGAATTTACTTGATGTCAGAGTCAGGCACCTAATCGCCAGCACACAAAGTCACAAAGTACTGGCGATTAGGTGCCTGACTCTGTGGGTTTGGGTTCGAATCCCGGATGGGACTCAACCCTCAAAAGTACTAGAATCTGTACTTTTTTGAGAAAGTGAATCCCAAATATAACATATGTTACATTTGACCCCTTTCTAAATGGCACTGTGTATTCATACTTTGAGGTAGGTTATGTACACTTACATGCAGAAGAAACGTTCCATCTTTGCTTTGGTGACAATTCCCCATGACAGTAATCTCAATTGTGTAAATGCCGAAGACGCCACCACAACCCTATCTAGGTAACCTGGACGGTATCATATGAAACGCAATATGATGGAAAGAACCAAATACTAACTAACATATTGATGCAGAGAGGCACAAAGAGTAGTCAAAATAAATATTCCAAATCTGTAAACAAATGCCAACGTATTATGTCAGCAAGTTAAACCTAACACAAGGCATGACATTTCCTCAAGAATTTGGAATTTTGCAACCTTCATATGCATAAAAATCTATACTGAGTCAAAAAAGAAACTTCACATTCTTTCTTCAGGGCACTATAAAAGAACAAGAGATGGTAAGATGGTTAAATTTTATTATTTCATTGCTGAGATCTGTGTGATGTACTCGATACACTGACAGTGCCATAATCAGTTCCATTAGGCTACACCGCCGTTCCAAAACATGGGTATACAGAATGTCAAGTCACAAGAATAAAAATGCGAAATTTCTCAGTTCAATATCGTGTATGGCCGCCCCGCGCATTCACCACTGCCAAACACCGTCTCCTCATCGACTGCCTGATGCTTGTGAACACGTGGTTGGGGATTCTGCGCCATTGCTCTTGCAAGGCAGCGCCAAGTTCCTGCAAATTCTGAGGTTGGTTCCTAAGACCACGAAGCCTTCTCCCAAGTGCATCCCAAACGTGCTCTATTGGATTTAGGTCAGGGGACCTCGATGGCCAGTCCATGACGTTAATTCCAGCGTTTTGAAGGAAATTTCGTGTCAACATCGCGGTATGCGGCCGAGCATTATCATGCTGGAACTGTAGACAAGGGCCATGAGCCGCCATGAAAGGAACGAGTTCAGGGGTGAGCACCTGGTCGCGGTAAGCAGCAGCTGTGAGGTTTCCACGGATGACCAGAAGTCGGGAACGGTTGTTCCCACAGAAAGCACCCCACACCATGCAACTTCCGCCCCCGAATCTGTCGACTTCCTGCACAAAACATTGGGCATACCGTTCACGTCGTCGTCTCCAGACTCTGTGCCTGCCGTCCGCGAATCTGAGGGTAAACCTGGATTCATCGCTAATGACGACTCGATTCCAGTCTCTCTGGGTCCATCGGAGGTGACGTTGGGCCCACAGCAGACGTTGACGTTGATGAAACGGCGTCAATATTGGCCCACGATATGGACATCGAGAATGGAGATTGGCAGCCCGCAACCGATTTCGAATGGTCTGTAAGGACAGTCGACCTCTAAACATCTTAGCCCTGGTTCGGGTAGCCGGCAGAAATCTGTCACGTAGGTGACGTAGGACGATTTGACGGTCTTCTGCTCGTGACGTCACACGTTGACGATCCGACCTTGGGCGATCAGAAGTGGTGCCAATTTGTGGTAGACGACCTCGCAAGTCATACACAGTACGACGGCTGCACCCCATTGCTCTCGCGGCGTCAATAACAGATCTTCCCGCTTGCAACATGCCAACGGCACGTTCACGTTGCACATTTGACAATCGTGGCATTTCAAGTACCGTTAGAACTGTGGTTTAAAAGTGTTTTTTCTTGAGGCCAATGCAAACACGTGCATATGAAGAAAACTTCGATGCGAAGATCACGTGATCGACTGCACGTGCAAAACCTGATTTGGCACTAACGTCATTTGCACGACGAATGGATGGGTTTGAGTGGGTTTTGCTAACGTTTTTCTAGAGTCGAAAGATAGGGATCCCATTTCGGATACATAGATGTTTCTTCAGAGAAAAATTATTCATTATTTTTCAAATTACATTTTGTGAAGTTTCTTTTTTGACTCAGTATATAAGTGGTGGTGCATGATATGTTTCGTGGTGACGATATATGGGTAGTTCGCATACGTACACGATCTTTCCGAGACAATTCATTGTTAAATATGGCAACACACGTTTCACACCTTTATTAAGAAATTAAAGATATATTTTAAATGAAAGATAAGTTATTTAAAGATATTTGTATTTAATTTAAAGATAATTGACATACTTGTATTAATATTGTATGGACATAAATAATTCAATATATCTTCAGTTCAATTCACGATATGTCTATTTTCATTCAAGATACCTTTAAAACAATTTAAGTTATCAGTATTTCTGAATAAAAGTGAACACGGCTTGCCATTAGAAATACACCCATACCAACAATGACTTAGTTTGGTGATGACAATGTTGTCTATATTTTGGAGTAATAGGCATAATTTGTTGAGAAGCGTTTTGCGTGATGTGTTTTTCACATTTATGTCACAGATATGGCGTGTTACATAAGTCTGCTGGTCTGGAAGACATGGGGGTCTTGCAGCCTCATCTGGTCGGATGTCTCTTCGCCTCGTGGTTGTTGGTCTTCTTGTGTCTTGTTAAGGGAGTAAAGTCAGTAGGCAAGGTATTATGCAGAGCAAATATGATCAGCCTTTGCATTAGATAACTATTGATAACATAAGTACAGTTCAACATCGAAGTGAGGAAACCATAAAACATCAGTTATCCGTGTGTTATGTTATCTTCTCACTGAATGCCCATTTAGTGCACATCCTTCGACATAGCTTGTTTGTGTTTTACATTAAGATTAGATTAGAACTTTAAGTGACCGCCTCTGTGGTGTAGTGGTTAGAGCGTCTGACCGGAGAGCGGAAGGTCGCGGGTTCGATCCCCGACCGCGTCATACCAAAAGACGTTAAAATATGGTACTTGTTGGTCCCTGCCTGGCGCTCGGCATTAATGGGTACAACAGGGACTGGTCGGCTCGGAGTCAGTATAATGTGTCTGAGTGGGGTATTCATGCCACCTTCGACATAGCTTGTTTTCGTTTTACATTAAGATTAGATTAGAACTTTAAGTTTTGGCGGAAGGTCTGTCTCTTATCATTGCCTAATAAAAATGCATGTTGGACTGAAAAAGAACGATGATTTGAAGAGATATCTTTGACGATGTGCTTAATAACATTTTGAAAATAATTTGTACTCTGTACATATGCTATTCTTTAGGTGTACATGTAGAATACCTGATTTCGAATCCTCATGTTCTTATGCTCGCTCCCCGATTGATTACGCTCCTTCAGAGTGTGGGAATAAATGACATATCTTTCCGAAATTTTGTAGGTGGTTTATGTGACGGCTCTGTTGCCCTACATTCTGTTGACAATCCTGCTGGTGAGAGGGCTGCTTCTTCCCGGGGCCATTGATGGAATATTGTTTTATGTATATCCTGACTTTACCAAACTGGCAAACTTCAATGTGAGTACAGCATTATCAGGAACTCGGCGTCCGCACTTCGTATGAAGTACATACTGGATTCATTTATTATCCTCAGTAATTATTTCTTAATTCTGTTGTAATGTATATCCTGAACCCATTCACCACCCTCGAGTCTTTTCGGAAGTGATGATTCATTCATTATTTTTATCGCTAACCTGGTTAACAGCAACGCATGCTTGTCGTAAGAGGCGACTTACGAGATCGGGTGGTCAGGTTCGCTGACTCGGTTGACACATGTTATCGTATTCCATTACGTAGATCGATGCTCATGCAGGTGAACGCTGGATTGTCTGGTCCAAATTGATTATTTACAGACCGCCGTCATATATCAGGAATGTTGCTGAGTGCGGGGTTAAACAACAAACCAACCAACTAGTTTCTCTTGCTCATGAGTGTAATTTGATTTGACTATTCTTCGACTAGCATGTGGCTGCATGCTGAATCATGTACTTTCAATGAAAGCCAAGCCATGCTGTAAAGATGACCAGCGTATGTATCTTAATTCAATTGAGACACCATACACTGGGTACTGGACAAAGGCAGCGCTAAAACCACTGATTTCTATTCGCTGATCAATTTTGCAGACACAATAAGACTTTAGTGACTGACATCCAAGCAAACTGACGATGATTCGTTAATTAATGCGTTCATAGGATGATATACCTGTCATTTCATGAACCACAGTGACTAGGTTTTAAGGTTTGAAGCATTAATATATTTGGGGAACAATATTCCTGATGAAGATTATGCCTCTGAAGTAAAACAATATTAATACAGGTATGGGTTGAAGCGGGAATACAGGTGTTCATTTCTCTGGGGACTTCGTTCGGGCCTCTCATCACCATGGCAAGTTTCAACGACTTCAACAACAACTGTTTCCGGTAGGTGTTTTATGTGTCATGATTATATGATTGTGTCAGCTGGTACGATACAACATGCTGACTTCCAGATTATCAGCACAATGCTCGTGCTAGATTTGCAGCCAAATAGTAAAGGTCTCAGACTTGCATGTCTTTGAACATTGACGCAGTAAGTTATAACTGTTAAACATTAACCAGTCTGTATCTTTCATGTCCACCCAATATTTATTGGAAGTGGTCAGTTTATTGAAACAGAATGTACGTCTCTCAGAAATATTCCAATACCACTTCGGACAGATATCTGGATTACCTGACTGGCAATATATTTACTACATTTATGTAATCTGTTGATACCAACAATACGTTAACCCGGATTTCGTATATCAAAGAATTCGGTGTCAAAACAACAGATATTAAACACATGGGATATAATTAATAATTGTATTCTAAATTTAACTAAGTGTACAAATCTTGCACAGATGCTTAAATGTGAGATGACAAGGCCAAGAATGCTAAATATATAATAACATTAAAAGTTTCCAGTTTCTGTTCTGGAACTTTCTCCAACTTGCTGAGTCAGACTATGCTGGAAACCTGCCAGTCTATGCATAGTAACGAGCACATCACTATCCTCTCAATCAGATACTCTCAACAGAGACAATGTTGTGCAAATACAACACTCTTCAACATAAATAATCTGCCTTATAACAGGTAGACAGGCATGTAGACAAGCTAAAAGTGGATACAAAAAGTGCTCCTCCCGGCCAAACTAACTCTTTTTCATGCAAATCAAAATATTTCAATCCGTAGATTAAATTTTGAAATACTCATTTCCAAAAAGTTCGACTTTAGTTTCAGATACAGCTGTCCAATGGTCCAAAGACAAATGAGTATATGAATCGTATCTGCACAAAGGAGAAATTATATACAGTGTCCGATCTCGACCGCACATAGATATTCAAAGTGAAGGTTACCTCTACACCAAACTCCACGATTTATTTCTATGTTCCTTTTCATGTCGATCAATTCGCCATTTGCTTCTTTGTCAGTTGATTATTTACTTCTTGAAAGGTAGATATGTTTTCAAATATCGTGGAAAGACATACTGTACTTACGACTAGCTCGTCATTGGAGTTATCACAATGAAAGACCTGCTCAAGTCATACAGAAATGTTACGGTAAACGTTCACACGAATTGACTAAATGTGACACATTCCTTGTCAACGGGATATGGGATGCTTTCCTACACTGGGACCTTTACAGGGAGTTTTCACACATCCACGTTCACTGACTCGTACCTGGATCGAGTGCTCATGATGCTGATCGGGTGCTCATGATGTGATTGTCTTGTCCAGACTCGATCGTTCACATGCCGCCATCGTATGGCAGTAGTAATGTTGGTTGCTGTGTTGGGCACCGAAAGCAAGCACACACCATTGGCACATATGTGCTGAATGTGCTTCACATACATGTAGTTATAAACATGTTCTGTTTCACACAGGGCCTCTGTCGCCGTGTGTCTTGCTGATGCTCTGTCCAGTTTCTTTAATGGGTTCGTCGTCTTCTCAGTGGTTGGGTTCATCGCAAAGGAGGCTAATGTTACCGTCACAGAAGTAGCTTCACAGGGTTGGTTACTATGACTCTCTTAAGGTAGCCAAATGCCTCGTCATCTAATTAGTGACGCGCATGAATGGATTAACGAGATTCCCACTGTCCCTATCTACTAAAAAGCGCTTACACGTTTAGTAAACAGACAAAATGTGCCCCTGAATTGGTTCAAGTAATCTTTGAATGCCAAAGATGTAAATTATGCATCCCTGAAGTCAGCTGGCGTCCAACAGTCAAACCAATTTCACTGATCGTCATACAATCTTTATCCCGACAGTCCACTCTTATCAAGTCCCGTGCACAGAAAGTGCAGGTTGTACACACCGATGCACCCGATACATATTCTTACCATATAATTGAAATCGTAAACTGTCTCAATTTTTAGCAGGTCCAGAGTAATTTCTGTGCATACGATGACCTTATTGCATATCACAGTGCTTCGTTGACGTGTTTGCTTATCCGCCACTTGTCGACCTGTTCACTGATCTGGATCTATCTTGTAGGACCAGGAGTGGTTCTGATAGCGTACCCGGAAGCCGTCAGCTTGTTGCCAGTACCTCAGTTGTGGGCAGTGCTGTTCTTTCTAATGCTGCTTCTGCTTGGACTGGACACGCAGGTAATGATTTGGATTTCCATAAACAACTGTCAGGCCTATTCCTGCAGAGGCAGGGCGATATATTCAGGGTAATGGCGACATGCTGCAAAGACATGTGAAATCAGCATTACGGGCGCTCTATCTTGGAATGGATTTAAATGTCTACTGTACACAACTGAGCATATAAGAAAGATGAGAGAGCAGATCTAATTTATCTGGTCCTTAATTGCCAGTATGCTTCTCAGTTTCAACTCCTTTTTCGACGAATGTGTATGTGTATAGTTCATGGCTGCTTATCGATCATATCGTATCGGTGGACACCAAAATGTGGCTTCCCCACCTATGCAATAGTTGGGAATCGAAGCGACGAATCAGGAGGCGATCCAATAGGCTGATAAGGATTTCATTTATTGTCATAATAAGGGACATAGTTTTGAGGAAGATGAAGAGTAAGTATATACTCGGAGACGCTGTGTTGTTAGAATAAATAGAGAAGCTGTCTCTCTTTTGTGCGTCTCATACCATTCGAAGATGTAATGAGCATAAGGATATTGATTTTGAACAGACAAGTGCATTGCACATTTTGTTTTGACAATATGTAAAGACATTGAAGTATGTAAATGATTAAAGTCAAGACCATGGCTGAATCACAATCATCTGCAGTACCTCCAGCTTTATTTCAAGCTTTCTTATCGACAATCGACTTCGTTTTGCCTCATGAAAACAATATTTTATATATCAATAAACAAACACTAGGCCACACAATTTCATATCGAATCTTGGAAATATCCATACATTTACAATAGGTGAGCTTCATTACCTTACGATTCTTTCGGAACTGGTGTCACAATGACAATGTAACTACAGACGTGCATTACAAAAATATCCACACCATCTGTCAATAATGAATATATATCCGTTGGGAAGAATCTTTTGATATTACACATTGGTCCAAAATATGCATGGACAAATTAAGGAACAATGTCTGCCAAACCATACACAGATGAGAAATGTATGTTTTAAAAACTATTTTGGCTCATAGTTCTAATTATTAAGCTTTATGGTTTTGCAGGTGCAAGTGGAATATATAATACGTTGAATTTTGTGTCGCTATACATGTAAATGCACCTACATACATTTGCAACCAAACAGGTCGGTTTTGAGCAAAGGAACGTATTCTTACCCACAAGCAGTCTCATAGGCGAAATATTTAATAGCGTTAGATATGTTGAAATAAGTTGTATTTTGTGTCATGATTCATGTAGACACAGCTTTGTTTAACTGCAAACTGAAAACACGAGTTTTGAGCAAGGAAATGTATTTTCACCAATGGACCAAGTAGTATATGTTTTAAGTTTTCGGAAAACTGTTTTCTTTCAATATTTTACCCTAAGTATATATCTATGATGATATTATGTAGAAGTTTTTAAAATCATTTGTCAGAAACTGGAAACAGTTAACGTTCGAAGAGTTTCTGGACAAATGGACTTCCAAAATTAAACTGTGACGTAATCCTTCTCCAAACAAAATCCAACCCCACCTCTAGAATATGACATGGTCGCTTCCTTACGTATGATCTTAGTTTGGGTTGGTGGAGAACGTTTTGACCAGCATCATCGACGCCTTCCCACGTCAACTGAGCCGACACCGCACATTGGTCACTGCAGGAATAACTAGCGCCTTCTTCCTTCTCGGGCTGCCTATGACAATGAATGTAAGTACTATTTACATTGGGACTTCTTGGAATTTGAATGTCCTCGTGTGTTTGGTTACTATCCATGTGGGACAAATCTATTGTCGTTAAACGGTAATAATCCTCTTAAAGAAAAGTAAAGAAACTTCATTTTTAATTTCCGATTGAAAATATTGGGAGATATATCAGAGTCATTCAATTTTGATATGATAATAAAGAATGTTTTGAGAGTGCATAACCACCTGCACTTTCCTATGACCATAGTTGTTTGTACAGTAAACGCTCTCGCTCCTGTAGGATAATTGGTGTATGACGTGATATTTTCAAACAAGAAAAAACCCGGCTAGAAACAAACGCTAACAACTCTGTGATGCAAGATGATTGTCAAACTTAGTGGTCTGCAGTGATTTATCGACCTTCTTGGAAACCGTCAAAATCAAGAATGATACCCCATGCACGTGTATGGGGCTACTGCGTTGGGCACGTGCATCCCATGCGTTGTGTTTAGGGGTGGTAATAAAGAGAAATGGTGGTGCGTTCTGTCTTTGAAACGTTACCTTATTAACACGTATAAATACTTCCTATCCAAACTGGAAGTTCAGGTCTCCCAACATTTTTTAAAGAGTATATTTAGTACCACAGCGTTTTAGTTAATGTGAGGAGACAGTCTTGGAGGTAGCCAACATTTACCCCTTTGGTGTCACTACCTTGAGGGTGCATGACGATGAGTGAGTGAGTGATCAATTAGTCAGTGTGGTGTTTCACCACTTTTTCAATATTCCAGCTATATTTGCGGCGGGGGAACACAAGAAATGGGTTGTGGGGAATCGAACCTTTATCTTCGGTGTGGCAAAGGAATGCTTCACCCAAAAGGCTGACCCAGTTGTTGGATTAAAAATGAAATTGCAAAAAAGGACTTGGACAATTTGATAACTTTAAACAAATCCAAAATTATTTATCTCCTTTCAAAACTTGGAATAACTTCAGTACAAATTCTTCGGGCAAAGGAGCGGTAATGGCTACGGCTATGTTTACGGAGACTGAGTTTGTTTAAACTGTTGATTTGTTCGATAGTCCATTTATTTTTTAAAGGAAATTTATGTGTCGACACATGGACGGAAACTCTACTCTGATAAATGTTAGTGGACACTCTTGTCTTTGGAGGATGGCCCCAAGACACAACATTGAACAGTCATGGATGGTACATGTATTTGTAGGGAGGAATCTACATCTACCAACTGATAGACTGGTTCGCGACATCATTCTGGGTGTGGCTTGCCGCCTTCCTGGAGTGCCTTGTCATTGGTTGGATATACGGTAACAGCAAGAATGGATTGAGAGGACAAACTGGGATTCTGTGATGTAGTTTAGCAATATCTGAAGCATCATAGTAGTACATTGGCACAATATAAGTTGTTCACAGTTCACGCGGATTACATCACCCCATGGGCCCCGAGGGACAAGTGAACATCATAATGAACCGTTTGAAGCACGGGTATCGAATCATAATAATGTGTACCATAGTTAGGCACATAACCAATACCGACAACTACAGACTAGAAGAAAAATATATTTAGAGTTATATCCCTTCCATCGGTTTGGTTTCGGAAACATCGGTAATTTCCGTTCATCATACGTGATTCAATTATTCGCGATAAAGAATTACTAACACGAATTACCAAATGAAATCCCACAGTTCGGCATTCCCAGCGGGTAACATAGAAACTGTTAATCGCTTGTAAGCGGGGTAAGATAATGTGACGTAAGATAATGGTATGACGTCATCTATGATACGCGTCACACATGGTATACGTTGTCTACAGAATAACTTGACCACAATGAAGTTATGTTTCTCTTGAGGACAATGGGCATGCAGCCAACGACGTTTATAAGAACTGGCGGATATTACGAACTTGCTGTATGATTAGAATATTTTTATACTGAACTACGCTTATAACGAACTAAAATAATGTTCCCTTTACCTAGTGACCATAGTTTATTGGACTTTCAAAAGATGTTTAAAAAAATTATCTTGCTTGTGCATGTCAGACTTTAGATTTGAATTAGCATCTCGGCTTTGACAGATACAACAATCTGAGAAAGAAATAAATGAAATATACATGTGGAAACAGTTGAAGATATGATTTACAAAAGGTATCCTGACTGAAAATGAAATGTATTATTGAGATTCATTAGATCATTACTTATGCATTATGTTACATAAATGTCCAAACATATTACTGTTTGCATTAACGGATCGCATGTGTTCATGTATATATTAATTCAATTTGTAATGTATATGATAATTTGCAATGTGCATTTGATAGAAACGAATTTCATATGCACAGCCATGAAGAATATGCTGTTGTTTTTTATGCAGGTGTGGGAAGGTTTTGTCAGGACGTGGAACTGATGCTAGGAAGGCAACCCGGAACATTGATGAAGTTCTCTTGGTGTATATCTACACCTCTCATTGTGTTGGTAAGAGTGAGTGGGTGAGTGAGTGAGTATGACGGCGCAGGGCTCGAGAACTGGCCTTGACACGTTGTACCCAGAAATCGAACCCGGGCTGTCGGCGTGACAAGCGAATGGTTTAACTACTAAATCGTCGCATGACCAACTGGATAGGATGCCTGACAGGACATTGGAAATGCGTTTTTCTATCCCCTGTCCACGTGATTCGAAGATAGGTTGAGACTTGGTCTTCACCTGCGCTCCACATTTGCGGGATACAAAAGCACTGCCCGCTTAGAGTATTAAGAATTTCTTATATCTTAACAAGTTGAGTTTTACGCCGCTTTTGATGCAATATTGGGACACCAGAAATGTGATGTGCTATCATGTGATAGATGTACCACAGGCTGCCCCTCTTATATCACAATTGCTGTGTGAGTTTAATCAGTGCCATCACAACAGTTTAATCTGTAAAAAGAAAGAAGTGCCGTTGTTAAGATAGGAAGTAGTAACGTGTTCATATTAAACCTCTGCTTTGTGTGCCAGGGGCTCGTCCGGACTAATCCCTAACGTCCTCAACAAGTGTTACCTATTACATTTATTGTATGGTACACGTGAAGATTCGGGCTAGGATTGGTCTTCAGCCACCCAGACTTGTCGTAAGAGGTGACTAACGGAATCGGGTGATCAAGCTCGCTGACATGGTTGATACATGTCATCGTATCCCAATTGTGTAGATCGATGCTCATGCTGGTCCAGACTCAATTATTTCCAGCGTATAGCTGGAATATTGCTGAGTGCAGCGTTAAACAAGAAACAAAAATATTGTGTGCGAGAGAACTTTATAACAACAGTTTGAAACAAGTTGAACGCGTCCACGCCTCATCTAATGCTGTTTGTGAAGATTCATCTTCAGCAACCCATGCTTGTCGGAAGAGGCGACTAACGGTATCGGTTGGTCACTTGCTGACTTGGTTGACACGTGTCACCGTATCCCAGTTGCGTAGCTCGACGTACGTGATGTCAGTCACTGGATTGCCTGGTCTCGAAACGATAATTTACACACCGGCACCATAAAGCTGGAAAATTACTGCGTGCAGCCTTAAACAACAAACCAACAGACAAACAAAACATATTCAATGTCACTTGGGCAAATGTCCGCCATAATATTTTTTTTCTGTTTATCTGTTACAGATTCTTTTCATAGTGACACTGAGTTCCTACCAGACGCCAACATATGACGGATACACGTACCCGTCTTCTGCCAGCGCTGTAGGGTTTGTACTCGCCATGTTGCCTATCATCCCAGTCCCTGTCATCATGGTCATGGAACTCAATAAAGCCCAGGGGACATTGTGGGAGGTGAGCTTCCTCACAGTTTGCTCGATGGTTTCTGCTCGGCATAATACGAATCACCACATTTACTGACAAACGAAATGCACACCTGTGTATCTATTGAATGAATCTATTGGTTAAAGTGTACCCTCGTCTCGCCAAAGCCTTTAGTTTGAATCTTCACATGGGCACCGAGAAGACTAAATATTCCTGTTGTATTGCTGGGATATTCCTGAAAGCGTCGGTAATCATACTCACTCACAGATCTTAGCGATACGTATACGTTATGGTCTATTGGAGTTTTTTCAGACACTGATCCTGTACCGCGTGAAGAATGTGAAGAATGTTTGACCGATGAACGTGTTGCGCCGCTTTAGCTATATTCCAGCAATACCACTTCGGAAGACACAGAAATGAACTTCACACTTTGAAGAATCGAACTCGCCAGGTCACCTTCCGCCCTGATCCTGAATAATGGCATGATGGTCAATGATCAAGTTTGCCCAAAGGTCACAGACTGCTCTGACCCTCAATTCATCATACATGTACAATCATTTCTTTAATGTTTTTTGTTTTGTTTTTCATTTAAATGTTGACATGATTCTTAATGAATAAAGTGTAAACTGATTCGCGGAAGGAACTGGGGTCAGGATTCAATATAATATCAGTTGCTTTTCATAATGAATAAACTACTACCACGAGAAGTGTTTGATCCCGATTAACTGACTAAGGTTTCGCGCCGCTTGCAATATTCCAGCAATCCCACTTCGGAGGACATCAGAAATGGACCTCCTACATGTGGGGAATCGAACTCGGGTTTTCAGCGTGAAGGACGAATACTTCAAATTCACAAGGCTACCCTACCGCCCTTGTTTGATTCTGAAATTTGCTCAATGCTTAATTTCGCCAAAAAGCCACGGACTACTCGCATACATCCTACCATATGGCCTAAATGTTATTTGCATGTAAATGTTGACATTATGACATGATTTCTCTAAATGTATTCGAGGAAGGAACTGGGGTCAGATTCCAATGTACTGCAGTTGCTCTCCTTAATGATCAAATAATAATGAATAAACGAGGTGTTCTTTCCTTTCAGAGGTTTGTGTTCACATTGCGACCTTCATCCGACTGGAAGCCAGCCAACAAGTCTTGTCAACGTGATTATGAAACTGACAACCATGTATTTGTACTGCCATTCAAAACACTCATACCTCATCGTCTCCGTTTACGATTGTGAGAGGACGGAAACATCTTGAATTTATAATATTCTAAATATAAATCAAATGATGGAACATTTAACTGCATTCCTTTCCTTGTACAGATTAAAACATATTCAGAATCTAATGACCTCTTGACTCCGCGACTAAAGGTTCAACCTACACATCACTAGTTAACACATACTAGTTAACACGTGACAGCTATTTATGTTTTCCATGTCCAGAATTTGTTGCGAGTGAGGAAAATTATTGTGGCTAAGGCAAGACCAGGAACCAGAAAAACAGATAACATCTACTAACGATTTACGCCGCTTTTAGCAATAATCCATGATTACGACAAGCAAGTATACTTATCGGACAGATGTGATTGCTTTACGGTACGACCAGTCACTCACTCACTAAGAAGAAGTAACTGGGGCTGTTGCTTTTATTAATTCACTGAAAACATTTTCTCCAAAATTCAAACCTCAAACGACGTTATTTTCGTACTGGTTTGAAGAAGATTAAAAGCGCGTCTGACTTACACCAAATACATTTTTCTTTTAAACTTTAATTGAATTACCAAAGCAATCGTTTGTTCTGATCACTGTTGACGACACATCTGCAGGTCTATCAGATCAGACATCTATCAGACACTTTGACACCTGGAGCCTAAGACCCGACGGGTATCATAGGAGCCACGACATCATTCTCTGGAGTTTTTTCTTTATCTGCTGCTCCAGTGTTAGCCTCTTCCTGTTCTCCAACATGCTCAGGGTCAAGGACACTTTTTCCACTGTCAGGGGAATCGCCAGGTAGAAGGTTGACCTCTTGGCCTTCACCTCCGACTGTTTCAGTATTGGCCTCCTCCTCCTCTCCAACATGCACAGGGTCACGAACTGTCATCCCACTGTCAGGAGAATCACCAGGTAGAAGGTTGACCTCTTGGACTTCACCTCCGACTGTTTCAGTTTTGGCCCCCCCTCCTCTCTCCAACATGCACAGGGTCAAGAACTGTCATCCCACTGTCAGGAGAATCACCAGGTAGAAGGTTGACCTCTTGGACTTCACCTCCGACTGTTTCAGTATTGGCCTCCTCCTCCTCTCCAACATGCACAGGGTCAAGAACTGTCATCCCACTGTCAGGAGAATCACCAGGTAGAGGATTGACCTCTTGGCCTTCACCTCCAACTGTTTCAGTATTGGCCTCCGCCTCCTCTCCAACTTGCACAGGGTCAAGGACAGTCTTCCCACTATCAGGATAATCACCAGGTTGAAGGTTGACCTCTTGGACTTCATCTGTTTCACCTCCAGTTGTCAGGCCTTGTGCCCCTGGTCCCATCCCTGGCGCGGTTTTGGGGTTGTTGTCCTCGCCTTGTGCATTGAAGTAATACTGACACGTTGTTCTCCCACCGAATGAAGGGAGACAAGCGGAATATTGGCAACACCTGTTGGCAGCGTTACAATCATTCCCGAGAGGTCGACACTGAAATTGACCAAGACGTATCTACGTGACGTTACCTGATATTAACGACAATAGACGAGTAACAGCATAATCCCATGAATACATTCATTCTTATATTGTTTCATGTAGGTGATAAAGCCAAATACTGTGTATTCATAAGAAGACCTGACTTCATTGTATTATTGTACTTGCGCTTTGACGTCAGTAAAGTAATATCTTCTGTCGTCATATCTAGTAAAAATATCTATTGCATTGACTGTTTCATTTGTTTCTTAATGCACATGCACTGTGTTAACCGTGTCTCTGTCTGGTGATGCATTTTAGGCTGTTAAAACATGGAAAACTCCAATTCTGACTATAGTGCCAACGTGTCTTTATGAAAAACTATCAGGTTTTCGCGAAGACGTGTGCGTGTCAAGCCTCAACGTTCCCTTCCGTCACAAACACATGCAAAGGCAAGGTAAATAGACACATCGGGCATTATCTTGGTGAAGGTATCATACAATCACATGGTCTCAGTGTGAATGGAACACTCGACACCTACTCGGGACCTACTACATGGTGTTAATACGCGATATTATGCACGAAATGTCTCCAAATTCTGTCTCAGTGCACTTGGAAGATTGAGTACGCCAATGGTTGAATGTAAATTTGAAGTTTATCACGAATTGAGAGTTGTATGATAGTAACACTGCATATAATTTCATTATTATTTCGGAAGAAAATTTTCTCTGCTTTCAGTAAATATTTATCTCTCGATTATCAACACCTTTCGTCATTCATTGAAATACAAAAATGTTATGCTATAGATACTGAAAACAAAATATGTTTCTTCTCCTATTCGCTCAGATACTGAGGACTGAAAGTGTGCCGTTCAACTAGTTTGTAAGGCAAGGCGTAGTCCTTTCCATGTCCCATTTTAGTACCATGGAAAATCTCATTTAAAATCGTACGTTATTTAATCACACTGATTACACAGCAAAGAGACCTCAAGAGAGTGGGTGAATGGTTTTATGCCGCTTTTGCAATATCTCAGTGATACAACGGCTGGTGACACCAGAATGGAATTTACCCATATGGGGAATCGAACCCGGATCGTCGACGTGACGAACTAACCACTAGTCTGCTCTACCTCCCGCGACCTCAATTATTCACAAGTGTCGATGATGAACATTTTGAACATTGAACTGCGGGTAGTAAGTGCAGTGATTGTATGCTGGTCAGATCAAGGCACTCACCTGGTCGTTACCTGCGCTGCATCTGTACTGGCCGTTGCTGTACTGACATTGACCATTATTACAACAGGTACTGAATGGATCGTTGGGGTTGCAAGTTTGGTATTCAGGAACGCACTGAAACGAAGTGCAGTGTATCTACATTTAGAAGGTACGACAATGAAAAGATATATGCGTATTATTTTCCATTCCATAAATCCCACTTTGATGATCATTGTAAAACACTTTATCGATAACCATGATGTTACAAATTGCGACCAATGTAAAGACTGTGACCATATGTTGTGTGATGAAATTACGGAGGAAGAAATTAGAAAATCAGTTCATAACTTGAAA